CCACATATGAGTGCTGGGCCGGGGGTGGTGTGTTTTGTAATTATTTATTTATCCCTTCTTCGATCTCTCATACGTCTGTGGGCCTCAGAAAGCCCAGTGGGAATCTTCAAGCTAAGTCCACGGAGCTAACCAAAGCCAAAATAAACAATGGCTTGAAGAAAATCTACCCAAAAAAGTGCTGATTCGCACTATTCCCACAGTCGCTGGAGCCCCACCATCATTCCCATGGAAAACATCCCTGCTGGTGCCAAATCAAGTCCCCCCATCGTAGGGTCATTGTTTTTCATTATTATGTGAGTTCTTAGCGCCAGACAATGGCACCACAAGAAACACAGTGAAGCCTGTGCTCTTGTGCCCTCGAGAGTCTCGCATGGAGTTGAGTTGCATATATCCGTTTGGGGAACACGTATGTGGGATGATGAATGTGCTCAGATAAAGCCTGAAGTCCCGTCCGTTTTTTTTTGGTTTTTTTTCAGAGTCCATCAAGTGTTAAATCATATTAGCATCGCATTGCTTTCTCCCCCTTCCCCTCCCCCCAATTAACAGATTTCTCTAATAAAGTTGGTGTTTCAGGGGTTATATCATGGGACAGGCATCCAGGACGCTGGGTTACAAGCTCAGCTCCATTCCCGATTTGCTTTGCTTCCCAGGGGGAACCATTCAAGCCCTTTGCACCTCCCTTTCCTTTAGGCTTTCGCTCCAGAAGGATACAGGCCTCTCTGGAAACAGTCCTGCAGAACTGACGGAGAAAACAGGTAAGGAGTGAGAAGCCGGCCCCGGGAGCTCTTTGGAAGGAGAAAACGTTGACGAGCATGTCCAAAGCGATCACCCATCCTCTGTGAGCCCTCAGCCTGACTCTTGCATCTTCTTTGTTCGGTGTGTTTGGTGATATTTTCCCATCAATCTTGTCGGCATATTGGGGCAAGATTGTTCTCTCTTTTATTTGCCCCTGCCCCCCACCCCCAGCCATTCTACTCTCTTACATCAAAGGAGTTGTTTTGCCTGTAATTATGCCTTGGTACACACAGGGCTGGTTAATTACCGAGAAGGCGATAGGAGAGTTGCCACTTGCATTCAGATGGGATGCTCTTCCCTCAGACAGGGACAGTTTTGGCTTCCCTAGGCCCCTTAACCCTGCTTCCTCCTTCAGTGGCCTAAGTCCGCCTCCCCAACCTCTAGTTTTTATTAGACTTTGCCAACATGGTCGGTCAGGTCCTTCCCTGCTCTTTGCCCTGTGGTCTTTGTACTCAGGCTTGGTAAATACCATCAAGAGATCTTCTGTCACCTGGACGGTCACTTGATCCGAATCTCAGAGCTTGCCTATCCAAGTTGTTGGGTTTTTTCCAGAGCACCCTTCCCTTTGGGAAGGAATTATCGGGCAATGAGCTGAAGCTGGTCCAGAGACCCCTTCCCTCGGGCCTTTCATCTGCCAGAAGGGAGGAGAAAGTCCCAAGAAAGCCCTGGAGTAGGGGGTCAGGTGCTGTGAGACACAGAGCAATGGCAGGGACCTGAGAACGTGGGACTGACCTCTCCCACTTTGTGCACCCTCGATAGTGTTGACCATGACTCCTCCAACACACACACACACATACATACACACACACACACACACACACACACACACACTCCCTCTCCCACCCTGTACTCACTAATGGGTAATATAGTCCTGAGCAGAGGCTCTGCCTTAACTCACCTGGATGTCACCTGTCCCTAATCCTGTTCCTGGACTCTGCCTTCCTGTCTTCTGAACTTCTGAGGTCGTCAGACCTTGCCTGGCTCAGGGGATTCCTAGGCTTCTTCCATCCAACGGCCAGACCAGAATTTACAGGGTTCAGAGATTATGAGCTCATGGGGCAGTTAACACTCCTGGCTTGCCCTGACGTCCTGGGCCCCTGGCAGCTAGCACAGCACACGTCTGACACAAAAGGGTGTGTGTGTGTGTGTGTGTGTGTGTGTGTGTGTGTGTGTGTGTCCAGGTCAGGAGGGTCACAGGAATAAATGCCCGTCCCTGCCTGGTGCTGGCCCTGTGTGGCTTTCTTGTGCCACAGAGGCATTTGACACCGTCTGTAGACCTATTCCTGAGTCACTTGCACGACAGTTTCAATATTGAAATGCTGCCTCTGTGGAGAAGCCAGACGCCATTGAGGCCGATGGTTGAGGTTCTTACCCAACAGGCCACGGGCTCACCCGCCCTCC